GAAGAGGAGATTTCGATTTATTTCTGCTGTTAAATAGTTAGGTTGAAAATAGTTTAGTTAACTAAAGTAAGTTAAATAGTTAGGTTGAAGTTCATGAGATGCATAACATCTTATCAACATTGAAATCAAAACAGGGAATATTATTTCATAGCCCACCTGACAGCTAACCAAATACATAACCTGAATAGAACTGATTCCTTAACCTTCCATTGTACTCTTTCATTATCATCATCATTAGGTGCCTTGCCGTCTGGCGTGGGTGTTCATGCCTCTCCACAATCTGCGATCTCCTGCAGCATTTATCAGTTCATGTGCCGAAACACCTCCATGCCATGCAACAAGACTGTCAAGAATCTTCTCTCGTTGTCTTCCTCTATCCCTCCTTCCATAGATCTTTCCAGTGCTCACATGTTCTATTTTCCCCTCTTCTCATAACATGGCCAAAAAATGATGACTGTCTCTGATGTCTGTGATAAGTTGTCTTCGGGCTTCCGCCTCTTTCAAAATCTCTTGGTTGCTCTTTTTGGCTGTCCAAGGTATTTAAAGCATTCTTCTGTAAAACCACATCTGTGCTGTTTGCCTCTTTATAAAAAGCAATTTTGATTTCAGTCACAATTAATTTTGTAACATATTTAAGGACCAATCAAAAGACCACCAGTGGATTATCTGTGATGGTCCTGTGGATGCGCTGTGGATTGAGAATATGAACACAGTGTTGGATGACAACAAGATGCTTTGTCTGGCCAACAGTGAGAGAATCAAGTACACCCCATATATTCATATGGTCTTTGAGGTGCAAGACCTGGCAGTGGCTTCCCCGGCTACTGTCAGCAGGTAAAGACTTATTATCCTCTTTTCTCCTCTTCTACTTCTTAGCTTTCACCGGCTCTGCACTCTGATGGAAAGTTGTGGCTATTTGTCCACTTCTGGACTTTGATCTTTTTCCAGAACTTGAGTTTTGTGTTCAAATCTATTCTACAGATCTGTTTGTATGTTGGTTCCTCCTGTCTGGCAGATGCACTCTGACTTCAGAAGAAACACTCCTAAATAATAGAATTTTGCAACATGCTTGTTACTGGGCAATGAACCCCCTTCCCCCCTCCCCCCCAGCCTCTTCCCCAACCCCCTTTCCCAGAGGGGATCCTAGACCTCCCACAGGAGGGACATCCTAATAAAGAGGACTGAAAAAGGATAAAAAAATAAAAGCCCAGACCAATGCATCCCACTTTTCACGGGTTCTCATTGGACTAGTAGACTAGTCGATGTGTTAGCCACCACTTGTGCTATATGCAGTGAGGATGATCTGTGGATTAAATAACTGTCTGACCGGCCGACTGACTGACTAATTAACTGTAACTAACTAACTAACTGTAACTAACAAACTAACTGACTGACTGACAGTGCATTGACCAGAAATAATCACATTTTGTGTACTGATTACCGTAAACTGTATCATTTCTGAGAGACGCTTATCTTGCTAGGTGTGGCATGGTTTATATTGTCCCTGATGAGTTGAAGTGGTACCCATACGTCAAGACATGGATGACACTAACTAGGTAACTAACAATCTGACTGACTGACTGACAGTGCATCGACCAGAAGAAGTATTCACATTTTGTATATTGTATTGATAACCGTAAACTATATCATTTCTGAGAGACACTTATTTTGCCAGGTGTGGCATGGTTTATATTGTCCCTGATGAGTTGAAGTGGTACCCATACGTCAAGACATGGATGACACTAACTAGGTAACTAACAAACTGACTGACTGACTGACAGTGCATCGACCAGAAGTATTCACATTTTGTATATTGTATTGATAACCGTAAACTATATCATTTCTGAGAGACACTTATTTTGCCAGGTGTGGCATGTTTTATATTGACCCTAATGAGTTGAAATGGTACCAGTATGTCAAGACATGGATGACACTAACTATCTAACTAACAAACTGATTGACTGACTGACTGACAGTGCATCGACCAGAAGTAATCACATTTTGTGTATTGTATTGATTACCATAAACTATATCATTTCTGAGAGACTCTTATCCTTCTAGGTGTGGCATGGTTTATATTGACCCTGACGAGTTGAAGTGGTATCCGTATGTCAAGACATGGATGACACAGTGGGAAAAGAAAATGTCACCTGAAGCGCCCGAATACATTCTCAAGCTATTTGAAACATACGTGGAAGATGGGCTGCAATTTGTTATTAAAAAATGCACACAGGCCATCAATCAGGTAGTTATATATCAGTTGCTATTTTGTTTTAGAACTCTTTGCCCTTTTTTGAGCCACGCTTTAAAGAAGGACTGCCTTAAAATGGTTCTGTCCTCATTTGTTTGGGGCTGGGTCAGTTTTAGAGCCATTCTGATCAATAAACTGATCTCCCAGCTTAGACATATGTATGTGTAAAACCAATCTATAAACATGCTGTCCATCTACAATAACAGTTAAGTGTAGTTAGGAGTTTTTTTGGTTGATTCTGTGCCAAGTGGTTTGTATTTGTGTAGCATTCTTTTGGTAGAATCCATGAATCATATTAGGGGTCTTCCTTTTGATCTATGACCAGAGCGTCTGTGATTGTAGCTAACTGAAATTCATTCATTCTCACTTTATTTGTCTCTCCATAAATCCAGTGCATGGAATGATCCCTTGAGTCTTTAAATATGAACAGCATGGAAGCTTATAGTAAAAGAAGAGCAAAGGGTCCTTTTCCACTCCCAAAGGAATGAAAAGGGGGTTACTTTGTCTTTACTTACCCTTTCTACTTCTAAGGATAGTGTGTGAAGGTGTATGTGCACGTACCTGCTCCTGCACACATTTATATACATACGCATGCAGATATATTGTATTACCAGCTTATCTTGTGCTCCATACTAAACTAGGAGAAACTCAGCTCTGTGCATGAATCCAGTAGCACCTGCAAAGATCTTCATATGTTTATAATAATAATAATGTGTTTATACCAGAATCTGTATATACTATGAACACGGCATTGTGAGTTTGTAATCTAATTATCAAATTTTTCAGAACCTTCATGAATCATATAGATGATTTCCCCTAAATTTTTTATACTAGGTAATAATATTGTTTTAAAATATAGGTATACTTTGAGCACATCCATCTTTTCCAGAAGTCAAAACTCTCATTAAGAGAAAATCAGAAACAGACTGGAAAAACAACACTGGTTATGACTACGGAAAAGATTTTCTGAGGCACTTGAACAGAACAGATCAAGTCACAGTTTTTCGCTTACGCACTGGACACTGCAGACTCAATAAACACTCATATAAATTAGGTATGAGCCAAACAGCTCTCTGCCAGTGTCTTCGTGCTGAACAGACTCCAGAACATGTCCTGCAAGACTGTCCTCTCCTGGCGGAGCTGCGGAGCGACATATGGCAACACCCAGTAGAACTGACAACTAAGCTTTGGGGAAACCTAAGAGACCTTGAAAAGACATCCCAGTTTATGACCCACAGTGGATTATGCGCATGACCAGAGATCGCTGAAGAAGAAGAGCACATCCTAGTGTGTGTAACTAAGACTTAAATGTTGTTGATGATGTTTATGTCGAGCAGCACAATGGTGTTTACTGAATTCTAACTGTTCTCACATACAGTTGGTAAGTCATTTATTATTATCTGCTAAATTGATGTATGCCTGGAGTAAGGCCAGAAATGTAAGATGGGCCTGTGTGCCCAATTCCTCTTCTTCTTTTCTTCACTTGCGGAATGCCTCGTGGAGTCAGGGCAGGAATAGATCTCTGGAATGCGCCGTTTTGTTTGCTTCGTATAAAGTACTATTTAGTGTCTCTAATATTTCGGCAGTCCATCTTCTGTGTGGTCAACCTCTGGCTTTGTTATCATTGTGTCTGCATAACATTGCTCTCTGTGGTGCCCTGTCTGATGCCAATCTTTATTCTAGTTAGTTTGTGAGATCTCTTCATTTTCTGCGAGCACTAAGAAAGCCATTGCCGATTTGCTGGACCAGTGACAGTGTTTTCAAACTTCCTAGAAGGTCACACTTGAACTAGACTATCACATTTAGACTAGTTTACCACAACTTCCACTCCAGGATGTCCAAAACTGACCCTGGTTAGGCGGTGGCTGTTGAAAAATAAACATAGCCTAATTCCTAACTGTTTGAAAATAAAGTTTGTTTGTTTATTCATTCAAATCCGAGCAGCATGTTTAAAGTCAGCAGATTGTTTTGTAAAGTCCATATTGATGAAACAATACCCCCCCCCCCCCCCCCCCCCCCCCCCCCCTAACAGGTGGATATAAGCAAAGTAACAACAATGTGCAAGCTCATGGAGTCCATCTTGTTCTACAAACATGGAAGTGTAGACTGGGCCACAGAGCCCGGCAAACTCAATAGACTTCTGCTGCAGATCTTCGTCTTCTGCTACATTTGGTCGGTGGGTGGAAACATAACAGACGACAACTGGGATGCATTTGATGTGTTTGTTCGTCAGCAGTTTGAAGAGAATCCTGACGCAAAGGTAACAGATTTGTATATTCTTTCAGTCTCAAGCAGTTATTACTTAAAATTATTATGTCCGAAAACATAGTTACTTTAATTACAGTAAAACTTTGATTAACCATCACCATCCAGACCAGAGCTGTGACGAATAGGTATCAGTCATTTTGCATCTTGCTGATATTTTTTGGCCATTCGTGTAATTCAAAATCAAAATCAGTCACATGATTACCATGGTAACTTCAGATTGATCAAGTGATCTTTTTGTTTACATTCCTATTATCTTTTTGATATCTGTTTCACTTTTGCCGTTTTTTGTTAGATGTATCCCCCCAAAAATTAGAAACTTGTTACTTGTAATAATTTCTCATTTTTCTTGTGATGATGTTACCTTTTCCTTGGAGTGAACAAGGCAGCCGAAAAAGGGATTATGATGCATAGGCAACATATGATCTCTAAAATACTGCCCAGACTTTATGCTATGAAGAGGAGGAACTTGTGATTCCCATACCTCCCTTTGCCACAATATAACACTATCATCTGGAAAGATAGACAGGTACAACGAAAACTTTGATGTTTACTGTTGATGAATCCGTTGCATTGCTTATATGTATTATAATCAACCATTTATTTCCAAACCAAATGCAGCTGCCCGGGTCAGCCTCCCTGTGGTCTTACTTTGTAGACATTGAAGGAAAGCGCATGGACATGTGGGATAAGCTAGTGGGCTCATTTCGATTTGACAGATCTGTGTCATTTTTCAAGATGCTTGTGCCAACGGTGGATACCACCAGGTTTGGCTATCTGCTGGAGCGGTTGATTTCTGTGGAGAAGCCAGTGCTTTATACAGGAGGGACAGGTGTGGGAAAGGTAGGTAAAACTGTTGTTGTGATTTGTAATATTATGTTTTTTTTTTCTTCTTCTTTTTCTTCTCTTCTTCCTCCTCTGCATTCATCGGCTGTAAACTGGCAGATAAGTTCTAGTACTTTGTCCACTTCTGGACTTTTAAGTCTTGCTCCAGAACCTGAGTGATGCGTGTGCATCTATTATACAGATTTCACTTATTTGTGTGCGAACTGTTGGCTCAGTGCCTCTCCAGCAGATGTACTCCAACTGCAAAAGAAGCCCCCATTTAATAGACTCCTACAACATGCTGGTTGGGGAGGCAGTGAGTCTATTTTTGTTTTCCCTACAATTTAGCCCCTGAACCCACACAGGGAATAACATTAAGTGATGTGATTAGATTGCCAGATTGTTTTGAGGCATTGAGTGGATTCGGTTTATGTATTACTTTAAAAACTAACGGTGAAAAATTCTGGTTAGTCGTCCACTTCTGGATTTTTGTCTTGTTCCAGAACTCGAGTTTTGTATGTGCGTCTGTTTTTATGCTCTGGCTTTTTTGTTTGCAGACTGTTGGTTCCTTGCCTCTCGTGCAGATACACTGTAACTTCAAAGGAAACACCACTAATTAGTCGACTTTTATGACATGGTTGGGGACTATGGGGCTATTATTCGCCCCCCACAATGGGACCTTGGAACCCACACACGGGTGTTGCCTGATACTGAGTTAACCTTCCATTTACTTTTGTCCAACAGGGGATTTGTGAATTTATTTAGCTGACCACATTCTTTGCCAATTTATAAAGCTTGTTAGTTTTTACTGCATCCACTTTTATGTGTCTTTTGTTTTCTTTCTTTTATCCATAGTCTGTAATTGCCCGAGACTTGCTGGATAGAATATCAGATAGATTAAATTATGTGCCAATATACATCAACTTCTCTGCCCAGACCAGTAGCAACAGGACACAAGAAATGATTGAAGGGAAGTTGGAGAAAAGAAAGAAAAATATCATAGGTGTGTATTCTTGATATGTTAACTACTTTTGTGGCTTTTGTGTGGATACAATATTCCTACTAATTTCTTTGAGATGCAATAAAGACAACTCTGCCTTTCGTTGCGTCTGCTTCTTCGGTTAGACTGAATATTGTAACTGTGCCCCATCCTTATCAGCTTCCTAACCTTTTTTTTTCAATGAACTTCTGTGTATTTTAATGGGCTCTGGCTTTAGCAGATCTAGTTTTGCTATTGTTTAAATATGCAGTTTTTTCCTTTAAAAAAATATACATATAATTGAAGGGTTTCCAGTCTGGGAGGCTTGACCAAGCCTTGATAATTGCCTGGTACCCATTTTAGGCAGGGTCAGCTTTCATGCCAAGGTTAGTTGAATTACTTTCTTAGGGGATTTTGAGCTGTTTACTCAGTGCCTTGAGGGAACCACCATGGTGTAGCGGCTAGGTGCTTACCTGTAGATCTGAAGGCTGGGAATCTGAACAGTGCCTGACTTTTTACAAAAGTGATTTTTTTCTCCCAGGTTGACCCAGCTTTGAGTGGGCACCAGGTAAAGTCATGGGAAGTAAAGGCAGCCAGCATGATATTGACCACATCACTCACAGTGCTGATTAATCTATAAAATATATGTCTAGCATCATATGCTCAGTATGCCTGCAGGTGTGGAAAAGGTTCCTTTATTTTTACTGAGGGGCTGGACTGCTGGACTCTCATGCAGGAGACCTGGGTTCCAACCCATGATAAGCCAAAGGGCATTCTTTTCTGTCGGAAAGTAAAAAGAAAAAAAAAACAAAGAAACAAATTGTAGATTGCACCATGGCATGAGCCATACAGACTTAAATCATGAACCCCAAGATATCTCTGTACTACAATACCCTAACAAGTGGTAAATATAGGCAATAAAGACATTGTTAACTACCAGGCTGATAGACAAGATGCTAGCCACTGAGATATCATGACTCCTTCAGTTATACAAAATTGTTCATGATAAATAACTGCATGTGAAATGCGCTGTCTCCGCAAGGTCACTAACAACACAAGAAGAGACAGGCTTCAAATTACCAGCATTGGAAAGAAAGTTGGGCTAAGATCATGTCGGAATTATATTGATAGACAAAGAATGAAATGGTTCAGCCTTCTAGTGAGAATGCAGCCAGTCTAAACTGCATTGGAGGCTCTTTACAGCAAGACGTCTGGGAGGAAGGAGAGAGGAAGACCAGGAACACCAGGTATAGATCGTGAAGCTTAACCCTACCAGACCTCAGGCCCTGAACCTAACTGTCTCATATACCTGAGCTCCTGGGCATTAACGCGAAAAAACCAACATGATACACAGAAATATTAGTTACATGTAAACAAGTGGCTAAAATAAGATGAAACTTGGAGACACTGTAGAAAGTAGGTTTGCCTTTTATCTAGCGCCAAAATTCCACCTTTGTGTGCTAAACCACCCAGCAGGATCAACCTTGTTTCACAAAGTGAACACCAGATGTTGCTGTCCGAGAGACACGCCCCCTTTTCCTATCTTTGATCTATTTCTAGATGTATAATTTTCAAGATTCTCATCATTCGAGCTCTCACTGACTGTGTCACTTAACTGGGAACATATTCTTCATGAAATTATGACTCTGCAGAGTCTGTATCAACTAAAGTATTGATCACCTGTTGGACTGAAAAGCCTAGACCTACTTCCCTTTCCTGTCGAAGTGCTTTGTCTATCAGCCTCTCGTTTTATTGTGAATTTTCAGAATTTTTTTTTACCTAAAACAACACAAATTTTATCCAAACATGTGCAGGCGAACATCTGAGAAGACTATCCACGAGATCTGATTACGATTGGCTAGTTATTTGTAGTTTGTGACACACTGTTTTCTCATAGTACGCAAATTCCCGACATTGAGGGACAGCTGTTTAGCGGCAGATTAGGAAATTCCCATAAAAGTTGGCCAGCGGTCTGGTAGAGTTAAACCTGCAAAACATGAAAAAATCCATCACCTAAGCCCCCTGAGAAGCACAAGACAAATACAGAAAACGACAACACTGGGCTACAACATGGTATCAGTGAAATGACAAAAGAAGAAAGAAGAAGTTCATGATAAAATGACATGAATTGTATTACTTTCTTCTTCTTCTTCTTCACATTCACTCTTTCTAAACTCCGGTGGAAAGGTTGTTGTCTGTCCATTTCTGGAATCTAGTCTTGTTCCAGAAAATGAGTTCTGGACTCTAGTCTTGTTCTATAATATGAGATCTGGACTCTAGTTTTGTTCCAGAATATGAGTTCTGAATGCACATTCATTTCACAGATCTAACTTTTGTGTGTGTGTGTATATGCAGACTGTTGATTTCTTGCCTCTGAGGCAAATGCACTCTAACTATAAAGGAAACCCTAATTACTCGACTCTTATAATATGCTTGTTAGAGAGGCAGTGGGTTTGTTCTTCCCCCCCCCCTCAAAAATGGGGCTCTGGAACCCACAGGGGAAGAACTGTACTATAACTATCTGCGTTCTCATTCATCATCTTCTTCTCTAGTCCTGTTCTACCTGTCAGCATTAGGTTTTGAAGAAGCATCAAGTGTGAGTCTTGGTATGTTCAATGTAAGTGCTGATATTTATGAGTTGGGATACTCCATCTATCCATCACTTGCATGGTTACCCTCTACCTCTGTTTCCATTATGTCTGAATGACAGGTTTGTCTGTGATGCACTTTTTGGTTGTGGTCTTGACTGACCTCAAAACCATTTGATCTGTTGTGTTGTCATTGACATTGTGTTATTTTTCTTCTTTCTTTTATTTAAAAAAAAAATCTTTATAACCAGGTGCACCAAAAGGGAAGCGAGTGATCATATTCATTGATGACCTCAACATGCCCAAACTGGACACCTATGGGTCTCAGCCCCCTATAGAACTGCTGAGACAGTACCTGGATTTTGGGGGTCTTTATGACAGGGAAACCATGACTTGGAAAGAGATTCAGGTATTCAGGGAGCTGATTTATTTGTTTTTTGTTTGTTTAATGTCAGTCTGCAGATACTTAGCGGACGGATGTTTGTTAAATGTCAGGTGAAAGAGATGTAGGCACCATGGTCTAAAATCAATTTATATATGGTTAAAGCATTTCTTCAGTTCATCTTCTTTTGGTATATTTTGTTTTACTAGAGTATACTTCAGTTATAGATTGTGTATATTAGCAGATACCTTCTCTGCCAAAGCTGCTTCACTTATTTTGCTTAAGGTCTACGATCAAAATAGTTAATAGGGAAGTAAGTCTGCTATTTCATATTTTGCTGTTCCCTCTGTGTGGGTTCCAGGGCCCTGTTGTGGAGAAAACAAGAACAGACCCACTACCTACCCAACAAGCATGTTAAGAGTCTTTTAAATGTGGGCTTCTTTCGAAGTTGGAGTGCATTTATCTGCCCAAGAGGAAGTCCATACTGTTTCATCACCTCATGTGACCAGCAGAATCAGAGATCAAGTCAGCTCTCTTGTCTTGCACCATCAATATAACCAGGCCAGCCATCCAGTTGTTTAATTATCTCTGCCTTTCTCTTGCTCTTTTTGTTTCCCAATAGTCTTGATAGTCATCACTAAATTTACAAGTATGTTTCTTCTAATATGTTTAAACAATTGTTAAACAGGTTGTGGTAAAAGCTGTGTAACCCAGCTGTTTGATATGTCTCATTTGTCAAGAGCAACATTTCACATATCAAAGACTGAATTAACTTTCTAGTTTTGTTCTCTTCACAAGTTAATGTTAGAAAAAAGTATGTAGCAATGAAGTTTTGTGTGCAAAAGAGTGACTGCGTGCATGGATATCCATGTGATTATTCAGAAATACGTGTATGCAACCAGAACAACTACCAACGCAGACACTACACATGAAAAGATCTGAAATGAAAGCAAGAAGCCGCCCTAGGAGAACATGGATTGATGACATTAAAGAGTTTCTTCTACATCAACACGGAATGACAATAGCCATTGCTGCCAATCAATCAATGGATCGCAAACTGTTCCCACCCACAATGCTTAACTCTTTGAGTCCCAAAGAACGCATCAAACGTTCATAGGTTCCTACATAGAAGCCCAAAGAACACATAATGTGCCGATTTTATGTCTTTCTTCACTATCCCTTGGGCCTGTGATGCTAAGCTCCCTGGGACTCAAAGAGTTAATGGCAGAAGTGGAAAAATGATGATGTAATTGATGAGAAAGAAGAAGTCTGTATTCTCAGTATTTTAAGAGAGTTGTATTTTCTGTAAAACATAAATCTCTTAGTTTTGTGTTTCAGGATGTGACTTTGTCTGCTGCTTGCTCTCCACCTGGAGGAGGTAGAAATCCTGTTTCTGCCAGACTGTTTCGACATTTCTCCATGCTGTGCATTCCATCACCTACTGAACCTAGTCTGAAGCAGATGTTTCTAGTAAGTTATTACACAACTGAGAAGTGTGTTTAACTCTTTCAGGACCACATTTTTACTGAGGTTTGGACAGCATTAATTTTTAGCAGGATTATTTTACTGCAACAAGGACAAAGCTAAAACCTTCCTGATAAAATAGTATTGGCTGTATAGAGACATATAATATATAAAATTAAAGATAAATTAGTGCAGAATATGTCTAAACTATTTAGGTGTCAGTATTACAACAAAATATATATTAAAATCACACAACATTCAAGAATGTTAGACACATATTAAGATTATTTACCCAAACAAATTGTGTGCCTACCTTACTTTTTACTTGTTCATCAACACTGCTATCCAATTCTAAGAATTCACATGCTTCTATGTTCAATTATGTATCAGCTAGTCTTTATTTGAAATAGTTATTTAAAATACTTTGGATGTGATGGCATTTTGTGTCAGATTTCACAACAACCAAAATCGGGAAAACTGATCAAAACAGAGATGATCTGATTGAAAAATATTCTTCAATGTCATCCTGACCCATATTATCACAAATAGGTTTGTTGCATGGCATTATCAGTGATAATATCAAGACTATT